TGTGTTTGGGGTGGGGGGGGAGGGTGTGTTGGTGGGGATAAAAAGTTGTTAGACTTCAACTGGCCTTTAAGATCTCAGTTTCAAAGTAAGCGACATATCTGTGGTGTTGTGCCCACTCATTGTCCTCTCTTCCTAGGTCAAAATCGCTTATGTCAACTTTGTCAACCACTGTTACGTGGACACTGAGGTGGAGATGAAAGAGATTTACACCAGCAACCATATCTGGAAATTATTTGAGAATTTCCTCGTGGATATGGCGAGAGTGAGTTACACCGTTTTTACAAGCTAAAGAGCACTGACACTTCACTGTCCAAATGCAACTAAGCTTAACTGCCTAAATATACACAGCACTGATACAGTTCTCGGTTTGTTTCGTTCCAATCGAAATTCGGATGACATTTTTGTTATTATTAGATTCGGATGTAACCGAATTTCCAAATTACAATAGTAACAAATTTAAATGAATCCGAAATAACAAAACAAAATTTCATCTAAAATTCAAATCAAATTTGAACTGAATTTAATAAACTAAATCAAATTCTAAAACAAATTTTAAATTCAAACATATTGCTGGCTATTGCCGGTTTCCTTAAAGACTATGTGTATTAGTGTTAGCATACAGCCGTCTGCCGAAATTCAAATTCCGAAAAGAATAGAACAGAATAAAACAGAATAGAATATAACAGCATACAATAGAAAGTAAAGGAATAGAAAAGAATAGAATAGAAAAAAAACTGAATATATTTGAATAGAATAAAATAGAATATAGCCGTCTTCCGAAATTCAAATTTTGAAAACAATAAAATAGAATAAAACAGAATAGAATAGAAAAAAGTACAGAGTAAAACAGAATAGAATATAAAGTAATAGACTAGAAAAGGATAGAGTAATACAGAAAAGAATAAAAAATAAAGGAATAGAAAAGAATAAAATTGGTAGAAAAAAAAGTAATAGGATAGAATAAAATAGAAGGAAAATAGCCATCTTCCAAAATTTTAATTTAGGAAAGAATAGAATAAAGCAGAATAGAAAATAAATGAAATATAGAATAGAAAATGAATAGAAGAAAATAGAAGAAATATAGCCATCTTCCGAAATTTTATTTAGAAAAGAATAGAATAAAACAATAGAAAAGAGAAGAGTAAAACAGAATAGAATAGAAAATAAAAATAGAAAGTATAGGAAAAGAATAGAATAGAAAACAATAGAATAGAAAAAGAATATGGTAGAATAAAATAGAATATAACCGTCTTCTGAAATTCAAATTTCGAATAGAATAGAACCAGCTATTCTTCACAATGAAATTTGGATCAATTCAGTATTTTCAATTCAAATACTTTGAATCCATTGGAAAAATTAGAATCGAAAATGAAGAAACAAAACTAAACAAAGCAAATTTTGCTACGAATACACTGTGTGCACAATTATTAGGCAAGTGATTATTTTGACCAAATCATCATTTTTATGGATAAAATGTCCAACTCCAAGCTGTATAAACGTGAATGCCTATTGGATTTAAGCATATCAGGTGATGTGTATTTGTGTAATGAAGGAGGGTGTGGCCTAAGGAGATCAACATCCTATATCAACGTGTGCATTATTAGGCAGCTTCTTTTCCTCAGGAAAATGGCCCAAAAAAGAGATTTAACTGACTCTGAAAAGTCAACAATTGTAAAAAGTCTTTCAGAGGGATTCAGAACTCTTGAAATTGCTAGGAAATTGGGGCATGATCACAGAACCATCAAACGTTTTGTTGAACATAGTCACCAGGTCACAATAAACGTGTTGAGAACAAAGAAAAAATCTAATTAACTGCCAATGATTTTAGAAGAATCAATTGTGAAGCTACCAGGAACCCATTATCCTCCAGTGCTGTCATATTCCAGACCTGCAACCTACCTGGAGTGCCCAGAAGTACAAGGTGTTCAGTGCTGAGAGACATGGCCAAGGTAAGGAGGGCTGAAACCCAACCACTGCTGAACAAGACACATAAGTTGAAACGTCAAGACTGCTAATAAATATCTGAAGACAGATTTTTCAAAGGTTTTATGGACTGGTGGGATGAGAGTGACTCATGACGGAGCAGATGGATGGGCCTGTGGCTGGATCAGTAATGGGCACAGAGCTCCACATCGACTCAGACACCAGCAAAGTGAGTGGAGGTGGGGTTCTGGGATGAGCTGGTATTAAAAATGAGCAAGTTGGACCTTATTCGAGTTGAAGCTGGACTCAAAATCAGCTCCCAAAACTACTGACAGTTTTAGAAGACAGTTTCTTCAAGCAATGGTACAGGAAAAAGTCTCCCATCTTTCAAAAAGACTGATATTTATGCAGGACAATGCTCCATAGCATGCATCAAAGTACTCCACTATGTGGATAGCCTGTGAGGGCCTTAAAGATGAAACAATAATCACATGGCCCCCTTCCTCACCTGACCTAAACCCTATTGAGAACTTATGGGCTCTTCTTAAATGGGAGATTTACGGTGAAGAAAAACAGTACACCTCTCTGAACAATGTCTGGGAGGCTGTGGTTGCTGGTGCACATAAAATTGATTGTCAACAGATCAAGCAACTGACAGAGTTCATGAAAGGAAGGCTTATGAGTGTTATTGAAAAGAAGGGTGGCTATATTGGTCACTGATTTTTTTTTTCTTTAAATGTCAGAAATGTTTATTTGTAAATTTTGAGTTTATTATTCTCACTTTTAACAGATGAAAATAAACAAGTGAGATAGGAAAATTTTCATTTTTTCATTTAGTTGCATAATAACTCTGCACACTAATAGTGGCCCAATAATTGTGCACACATAGATTCTCCTAAGAAAGCCAAAACCTCATTTTTACTTTCTTTAAATATTCGGGTTTGAGGTTTATTAACATTTTTGATTGACCGAGAACATTGTAGTTGTCCAATAATGAAATGAATCCTCAAAAATACAACTTGCCTAATAATCGTGCACACAGTGTACAATGAAAAAAAAAAAATGAGTAATTCAGTGAATCAATCTGAAATGAAGAAATGTTTTACTTCTGAACTTATCTATTCTCTGTTTGTGTCATCAGCCTGGCAGCACTTATGAGATAAATCAAGTTTATTTTTTTATAAACCGCTTGCAGATTGCTTGAAGTCATTATGACTGACCGCAAGTTAGCGTCACTCTGATAGGCTCCATGGCATCTTATTTTAATAGAATGCTTTGTGTCAAGACTCTTCCACACAGTCAATGGTAACTGCTTGTTAAGTCTAGGGTGCGTATGAATATGGAGAGAATATGGACAGAATACTTGCCACATCACCCGCTCTAGCAGGCTCTCTTAATCTGTGCAACCTAAGAGCAGCGCTCTTAGATGCTGCTGGCAGCAGCTATACTTCAGCTTCCTTGAGGTACAATGCAGGGTTTATAGCCTTGCATTGTACACAACACGGAGGCTGTGGAGCCTACTCCCATCTCCTAGAGGAGAAGAGTGCTGAATTCCCCCAAGACTTAGTCCTCATGCACACTGGACGTTTTGAGAACGCTGGTAACGTTAGCTGTGTCAAGACGCGTTAAAAACTTGATTTCCCAGCTTTTTTAAGAGTTTTTGCATTAGCTTTTAGCAGTGGTTTCCCGCATTTTTCCGTGTTTTTTTTTACCAAAAAAAGTCCAAAAACAGCTGTTCACCACGTTTTACCACGTTTTTCAGCGTTAGAGCATTTTTACAGCTAAAAAACTCATCTAGAAACCCACTAGTTTTGGGGTTTTTTTCCAGGCAAAAAACATCCCTGCCAAAAAACGTTGCTTACAGTCTATGTGTGCATGGACACATAGGATAACATGCTGGGGGGTTTACTAGCTGTAAAAAAAAAAAACCCCATCAAAAGCCACAAACAGCCGCTGTAAAAAGTCAAGTGTGCATGAGGACTTAGTTGAGCAGTTAGCTCTTTCAGTGCGTGTGTGTGTGTGTGTGTGTGTGTGTGTGTGGGGGGGGGGGGGGGGCGGCACTGCAAGGGTGCATTTTGAATAATTCCCAGAGTTCAGTTTTACCCCTTAATTACTGTAGCCAAAATAAAGCAACATATTGTATTCGTGAATCAATTTTAAAATTAGTTTAGGGTGAAGTTTTTTTTATTGTATCTTATTGGACCAGTAGAGACTCTTTGCACTTTGTTTTATTTTTATTGTGTGTACCTTGTATTTTTTTTTTTCATTAAAGGTCTGTAACACAACCACGGATCGGAAACACGCAGACACGGCTCTAGAGAAGTACGTCACTGAAGGCCGTCATGAACATCGTCAGTGGATTTTTTAACTCCCCCTTCTCAGATAACAGTACTAGTCTTCAGGTGAGAGGGGATTAAAATAACTGTCCATTAATCGGTTTGCCACTTCAGCTCTCATACACGTATATGCCTTTCGGTCAAAGCAGGTTTTACATTTCTACCATGGGCCTGTTTATTTGGTGATAACTTTGTCATTACGTAAGATAACAAAGTAATTTAAGGGGTTTTTTTTTGGGGGGGGCAGGTTTCTTTTGGCAATATTGCTTTCCAAAAATTATTTTATATTCTAGAATCTATAGACAAAATTACTTAAATATTTAAATATTGTGCCTTTCCCAAGTGTTTAAAAACATTTACTGTACATTAAAAATATATGTTTTATTCAAGTTGTTTCAGTTAAAATCACTTTAAAATAACCATATTTTTTCTGCTCCATAAGATGCACCTGACCATAAGACACACCTAGATTTTAGAGGAAGAAAACAAGATAAAAAATTTTGAACCAATGTATTGCAGACATAGTACAGGAAATGACCAGAGACTGCGGACATAGTACAGGAGATGACCAGAGTGCGGACATAGTACAGGAGATGACCAGAGACTGCGGACATAGTACAGGAGATGACCAGAGACTGCGGACATAGTACAGGAGATGACCAGAGACTGCGGACATAGTACAGGAGATGAGCAGAGACTGCGGACATGTACAGGAGATGACCAGAGAATGCGGACATAGTACAGGAGATGACCAGAGACTGTGGACATAGTACAGGAGATGACCAGAGACTGCGGACAGTACAGGAGATGGCCAGAGACTGCGGACATAGTACAGGAGATGAGCAGAGACTGCGGACACAGTACAGGAGATGACCAGAGACTGTGGACACAGTACAGGAGATGACCAGAGACTGTGGACACAGTACAGGAGATGACCAAAGACTGCGGACACAGTACAGGAGATGACCAGAGACTGCAGACATAGTACATGAGATGACCAGAGACTGCGGACCTTTGGGGGAGTTCCCCCCCCCTCCCTGCAGTCTTGTGTGACGCGTGACAAGCGCAGCGCTTCTCGCGCATGCGCAGTGGGCACCCAGCTGTGAAGCTGCTAGCTGTCACAGCCGGATGCCCACACTGAAGATGCCAGTGCGAGGTAGAGAAGATGGCCGATGGAAGCAGGACACCGCTGGACAGAGGAACAAGTAAGATGGAGGAGTGGGTTCTTCTCCACAATGGTGCCAAGCGGCCAGCCCGGTATTCTAACATGGCGGTGGCGGCGGGAATACTGGGACGGCCACTCTATATTCACTCCACACGACGCACAGACATTTTCCCCCATTTTTTTGTTGGAAAAAGTGCGTCTTATGGAGCGAAAAATACGGTATACTGTACAAAACATTACAAAGTTATTTTAAATGAACAAATTTAGTTTTTTTTTACATTTTACACACTTTCTTGTTTTGCCACAGTGAAAAAAAAATCAAAACTTAAATATTAATGATTTAAAAAAATAGAAATACAAACAGGATTATTAGGGGTTAAAGTGTAATACATTTTATTTTAAATTACGTTATTTATTTGTACATTTTTTAAGTGGTCATGTGCAGATCAAAATTCACACTTTTGATTTACAGATGAATGAAATAGTAAATACAGTTCAAGAATACATTGATACCTTGGGGTTGATCTACTAAAACTGGAGCTTGCAAAATCTGATGTAGTTCTGCATACAAGCCAATCAAATTCCAGGATTTTTTGTCAAAGCTTAAATGAACAAGCTGAAGTTAGAACCTGATTGGCACCACATTTTGCACTCTCCAGTTTTAGTAAATCAAACCCATTGTATTTACTCAGTGGCACATGCAGGCTGCCTGCAAGTGTCATTTTACACATGGGTGGCTGAATTTTTATAGCCACTCCTACTTTGTAATAGAAAGCAGTTGCCAGCAATAGTAGCGGGCAGAGACAGCAGTGGGAGAGGAGCTGGACATAAGAGATGCTTCCTAAAAAGTTTGTTGAAGTTTTTTAGAAAGTATGTTTTACGTTCAGAATCCTCACGTGGTTAAATAATAGTGGGGTCTTAGTGAGGCTGTGTCTGGAATCAGGTGCAAGTTTCCTTTAAGGGCCAGTTCACACTACATGCATTTCATTGTGCTTTTTTTCTGCATCAAAAACACCCAGAAAGTAGGTTATATGGTTTTCAATGTCATATTTCACATCAGTGCTTGCAGTTCCAGTGCGTTCTGGATACAGACAAAAAAGTAGAACAGACTGCATTTTTCCTGCACAGAACTGTACTGGAATGCGGTAAAACACATAAACGCACTGGAACACACCAACAACGCACTGGAACTCACATGTCCCTATTTAAATTGAAGAAAAAGAGAGGGGGAAAATATGAATGAGAATGCGTCCAAAACGCCCTGGAACACACCACAAACACGCATGCAGAAATGCATCAGAAACGCATCTGGACTGCGTTTCTATAGTGTGAACAGACCCTAAGCCCCCGGTCACATCGGGTGCGATTTTGAATGTGATTTGCATGCCAGGCGACTTGCAATTTGTATGCCAAGTCGCACCCTATTGTCCGCTATTACTTGGTCGGAGCCGCACCGATTTCTAAAGTAGTGCATGCTTTTGTTGCGATTTGCATAGACATCTGTGTCAGATGTCTTGCAAATCACAAGGAATTCGTCAGGTCACCCCATTTTGAAATTGTGTGACATCACTGTAAGTCATTCGATTTCAGTATCGGCTTTAATGTGACTGGGGTGTAATAGTTATTTTCTTCTTTCTGTCTCCTGGATATGTCTCTTAATACAATATTGTCACTAGTTCCTTTTCAGTCTATTGCTTTCATTTTGTGAAATGTTAAAGCAGTTATGAAAAAATGACTATTTTTCATTGTGTGTAATATATATGAATGTGATTCAGGAACAAAATCAAAATATCTATTAAGGCGGTAAGTTTTTTCCAGCAGTTCAACGTGATTGAGTGCGGTTAGTTACAGCTGAGTGCATGTATGATCTAATGAGCCTCTGTCAGGTTTATATTGAGCTTAGTATGTTTAACGTGTACATGATCAAGGAATGGGATTTAAACTTGCATTCTAGTTGAGTGAATGAGCAGTTTATATATTTATATTCTATAGTTTTATGGGTAGATGGTTAAAGGAAGCTTGCCTTTGTTTTGAAGCAAGTATGGAAGCAACAGTTGATTTCCCCACTTCAAAAATACAAGTTGCCTGTCTGTCATATCAATTCCAATACTTTTAGATTTACTATCCTGTAAAAAGGGGTCTTATCTATTTTTTGGTCTGTTAAATTGGTTCTAAAGCCAAGACATTTTTTACCTGATATATATTCCGTGCATTGGGGTAAAAAAAATATCCCAGTAGCAGTATAGTCCCCCCCCCCCCCCCCTCCAAATATTTACCTGAGGCCTTACTTGATCCACCATTGTGCCCACCTGTAGTGGTTCTCTCCCCTCTCCCTGCATTCACAGGACAGACAATCAATCAAATATTGTGAGAAGGAGGTGTTGCCGAGCCACTCTGTGTGCTTCTATGGATGCACACAGCCGGTTCCAGAAGTGAGCCTGCATGTCTGCCCATAGCAAGTGGCTTGCTATGTTGGTAGACACAGAAGAGGAGAAGCTGAAAGTACTGGTGGGGGACCCCAGAAGAGGAGGTTCAGAGATGCTCTGTGCAATTCCATTACACAGAGCAGGTAAGTATAAGATGTTTGTTATTTTAAGAAAAAAAAGTCTTTATAGCTTCTTTAAGGTGTGTTGCCAGTCCATTCAAAATGAATGGTCTTCCTCAAAGCTGAACTTTACGCAAACAACTAAAAATGTTTGTTTTTTTTTTACTTGGCACAAGGTTTGCATTTCTACTTTTCCAGTTCCAAGATTTATGCAGCTCTGCCAAACATCACAGACAAGACTAGAAGACGAGATGACCTGACTTTCCTTTGCTGTGGTTTCACTTTCAATTTGGTCCACTCCCCAGCCTGCTGGACAGTGAAAGGAGAAGCAGCAAGCTGTTGAGCTCATCTCTTATTACTCTGCTCTCTCCTCCTATCAGCAGGCACAACTGACTTGCTTCTTATTCTGCTTCTTTCTGTCCCACTCTGGTCTTTGCTGTACAGTAGGCTGCAAAAGGCTGATAGCCAGTCAAATTCAAATACTTACAGTACCAACTTGTATCTCTTATATCTGCCTGATGTTCAGCTTCAATGCACTGTAACATATTGCATAATGTGAATGGGCGCCTATTGTTCCATGTCCATGTATCAGGAGTTACTTAAGCCACTGGTACTGCATGAGAGCCAGGCAACTAGAATTTTCAGAAGGATACATAGGTGACCAGCAGCAGCCTCCATGCTTCCCTAACACAGGATTCTTTTAACTAGTGGTGCTGATATCTGACATCTTTGCTCTCCCGCATCTCATCACTTAATGCTGTCCCGAACCTCCCTAATTCCTCTCACCTGTCAGACACCTGGGCCGAGGCCATTGCTCATTTTATTCCCAAGTTAAATTCTTCCCGTCTCCCCGATCATTGTCAGGAGACATAATTGTCCATGTTCTCACATTCCGATCGGTGATTTATAAAAGCCAGGCAATATTTAAATACATTCAGGACCACGGAGCGGTGCACGATTAATGAACAGCTGGGCACATCTATCAAGACTCGAAACATGTTCGAGGAATACAGATTCTCACTCAAGCTCGTTAAGTCTTTTCCTGATTATCAGCGATTAATTAGGAGACTGAGGGTTTAAGAGAGAGCAAAAAAAAAAAAAAAACAACTACTTTTGGATAGTAAAAGTTTTTTAGTGTCTGATAATCTGAAATACTTCTTGTATTGTGGGATTTGTTCTTCACCACGTCATGAGATACAGTGCTATGCATTCTAAATAGAACCCCCACCCCACTCCCTTTGCAAACAGATATGTGATGAATTACTGGCAGAAATGGTACATGCATCTTTTTTTGGTGCTTTCTGGCATTAGGTAGCCCGTTCAAATGAATAGACTGCCTCCTTACACTTACCAGTCTTGTCCCTCTCCCAGCCTGCGACTGGACAGTGAATGGAGGAGGAGCAGAATGATGAGATTATTCTCCATCACTCTGGTCTCACCTCCTGCTAGTATGACCCTTGTGTGCACTGAAGCACAATTGATCTGACTGCTTGTGCTGCTTCTGCCCCCAGTCTGAGCTGTGATGTACAGTGATGTCAAGAGGTTGGTAGCAAGTCACATACAGGTACACTATTTGCATTAAAAAATGAATTTAACCATTAATTAATGCATACAGAGGTGCACTAAATTGTGATTTTATTACTGCCTGACATTCAGTGGGCCCATTCACACTTTTCTTCGTGTTATGTGAATGCGCATTGTGTCATGTGGCAATTCACATTGTGTTAAGGCAGCCTATTTTTGAATAGGCTACCAATGCACAGAAACAGACCAAACAGTGGACATTGTGCATTTTTTTTTGATACAGCGTGTTACTGTGCATCATGGTGCTCTGCAAAGCATGTACATTAGAGTTGTGTTACCCTAGAGCAGTTTCTCAACCCCAGTCCTCATGGACCCCCAACAGGTCATGTTTTCAGGATTTCCCTCAGATGAAACAGCTGTGGTAATTACTAAGGCAGTGAAACTGATCAAATCACCTGTGCAAAATAACGGAAATCCTGAAAACATGACCTGTTGGGGGTCCATGAGGACTGGAGTTGAGAAACACTGCCCTAGTGTGATGCTGTGCTATTTAAAATGAATGGCAGCAACTGAACCAACTAAATTACAGTGATGCATGAACGCACAGAGCCTACATTGACATGCATATTACCGCACATACTCTCAAAGGTGTGTTTCATCCCTAAGCTATTTACCTACCTGCACTAGAATCATCATTTTCCCTTCTCATTGAGGGGCACAGTGGAATTCTTGATCTCTGACCATTAGGGTAATATTTCCTAATGCTGTCTTTTCACTATCCCAATGGTCAGAAATCAAGATTTCCGCTGTACCCTTCAATGAACGTGGAAAAAAGTATTTTATGGTCAGTACAAAAATCATATTTTATACTTTCCATTAAGAAAAAAGGTGTATTTTCACTTTAAGTGTCCCATATATCTGGG